CCAAGCGCCATTTCTATTCCACAAATTTGCTCTTTACTTTTATGTATTTGTTTTTCTTTTAAGATTTTCCTATTCATCCTAGTGCAACAGATTCAGCTCTGCTAGGATGTCAGCTCCATGAAGGAAGGGATCTTGAGTTTGCGCAATATTTGATTTGATGGCTTGCTTTCGTCATTTGGCCCTTGACAGGGTCAAATGTGATCATGTAAAACACTCTGAAAGCATGAATTCCTTGCAAATATGTTATTAATCTAAGAACTACCCTCTCATTTATGCTTTTTATCTCCAGGCTGATGCTTGGGTTGGTTCGCCAGCATACAAACCTGTTTGTAGACTCCTATTTCCTGGTGTGGCTTGTAAGTTCTAGAAGTCTGGTGGCCACATAAAATGCTAGCACTTCTGTGGGACAGAGGCAGGCGAGGCAGACATTCCAACTTGTATCACCTTGGTTTTTGTTGTTTTCCAACTTGTTTTTTTTTTTTTAAACTGAAGTATAGTTGATATATTAGTTTTAGGTGATCACACGGTGATTCAACAATTCTACACATTATGCAGCACTCACCATGATAAGTCTAGTACCATCCATCACCACACAATTATTACAATGTTATTGACTATATTCCCTATGCTGTACTTTATATCCCCATGACTTCTTGATTTTATAACTGCAAGTCTGTACCTCTTAGTCCCCTTCACCTATTTTGCCCGTTCCCCCACCTTAAAGCCCACAGTCCAAACCTGGTGTTCGACCAGTGGAGATTGATTGCACGGGGTTTCTCAGCATCATCACTTGACCACCAACGGACCAGACCAGAGGAAGAGGAAAACATTCACTACCATGCTGAGGGCAGAACCCTCCAAACAGTGCTGTGAGCCTCACTGGTTCACACTGATCCCCATTCCCCACAGGTCGTGGTACTCAGGGCCAAAAACAGGCAGGGATGGAAGAGCTGGTCCCCAGATCACTCTCACAGACTGCCTGAATCCACTTAACTGCGCAAGCAAGTGAAGCTCCTTGCTCCTTCCTGTGTGTGCATGCAGAGCTCTCCTCAGGAAGATGCAGGAGATTACATCTAGCACTCTGCAGAAACCGACCACTTTTAATCTACAAGGCACCCTGTGCTGTGAGAGAGGGTGACAGCCTTTCTGTGACCCATCTTCGACCCGATAGTGTGAACGCCTAGGAGGGTGTGCTGGGCTTGTAGAACAAGAGGGCTGAATGGGGTAGTTGAGAACTTTTCAAATGTTTCTGTGCATACAAATCAGCTGGGGATCTTAATGAAATGGAGATCCTGAATCAGGTAGGGCTGGGTGGGTCCTGAGATTCTGCGCTTCTTTATAAGCTCCCAGGGAAAAAAGATGCTTCTGGTCCCAGGGCCAAACTTTGAGTAGTGACAGTTTAGCTCACACCTGAAGGATTAGGGTGAAAGGTCAGGTTAAAAGTAAGGAGAGGCCAGGGGTTCTCAGGTGGCTTCTGAGAATTATGTCCATCTTAACACTACCCATCCAGGGACTCTACATTACCTATAGAGACATGTGAGCACCCCTGTTCCACTGGTTTGAACTACCACGCACCAGTCCCCAGAGCTGGCCGAGATTACCAGATGCTCCGCTTACTGTCTCAGTCCCTGAATCACTCTGAATCCTGCAAATGGATTTAATGGGCAGCCCTGGAGAATGCTGTAGGTTCCCTGGGACCTCCAAGCCTCATCAACTCCCAGCCTAGACTGATTACAGAAATCCTGGAAGCCAACCAGGGTTGAGGGCAGGCTCAGAGAGAAATAGTAGCCACTGGGAAAAATAAAGCCAGTTAGCAAAGATCACTTTGTAGTTGGGGAGAAAAATCCATCATCCCGGGGGCACAACATTTCAGAAAAGAATTCAACTAGGTCACCAAGCCCAAGAGTAAACACCAATCTGCCCACTGTGTGTTTGATACTCCCAGCTCTTCAGGGGTTCCCACGACGTTGACAGCCTGGGGCTCACACAGCATGGACGCCTGTGCTGGTCTGGGCCCCAGCATACAGCATGGTTCAGCAGGTCAAACGAAAGCTTGTAGTTCCTGCTCAATTCAGTGGCTATGAGCTGGTCTTGTCCAGGACAAAGGAAAGACAACTTGAATTATTTCTTGCTCACACCATCAAACCTGCTATAGGAAATTGTTTCCAAAGTTTGCTGCATAACAATTTCCCTTTCCTGAACTGGCATGCTTCTGCTAGAATCTCTTGCCCCTCCCCTGGATGTGGGCTGCCAACCTTGTGAACTTGCTCTGACTAACAGAATGTGGCCAAAGTCATGTTCTAGGAGCCCAGGAATTCAGAGGTCCTGCAATTTTCACTTTTGCCCTCTTGGGATCCAGCTGCCTGGTAGAAAGCCAGGGTTAGATTATTGAGTGATGAGTGTCCACTTGGGGAGAACAAGAGCTGACTAGCCCCCAGACAGTCCAGATCCAGCCACTGTCCCAGCTAACCACAACCACATGAGAGATCCCAGCCAACATTACTGGAGCAAAAAGCTGTGCATCCTGTTCCCAGATCACGGGAAATAATACTAAGTTTTGGAGTTGTTTATTTCACCTCAACAGATAACTGAAATAACCCATTGACTAATGGGTTTGTGGACCTGGCTAAGGAGATTATTCAGGCAGGTTATCAAAGTGTTAATGGTATATGGTCAGAAGCGCTGTTCTATTTTCATGCAGAAGTTTGAGAAAATGTAGAGAATCTAGAAGAGTTGCTCAATTCAGCAAAATACTCTCCAAGTCAGAAATGGCCTCAGGGTACAGATGAAATGACAGACGTGAGAGTAAGATTCTTTGTCAAGATCTCAGAAAGACTGAAAGTGGTGGGCGGTTCATAGGCCCCCTCAGCCAGCCAAAGAGCTCCCGGCAACTTTCTAAGGGACAGGTCCTGAAGCAGCCTGAATCACAGTCCAAAGGAGAGAAGACCCATCGCCAAGTGTTTGGCATCAGGGTTTTTGCTAACAGAGTGGTTTATGACTGGATACAAATTAAGTCTACAAAGGTTAAAGGGATTATGCCCTTTTGGTCTAAAAAAAAAAAAGGGACAGAGATGCTTTAAAATGAACAGAGGTCTCTGGGGCCTCAGATTCTACTAGCAGGAAGTCAACTAAGAAAGTTGGAAGCAAACACAGGCTATTTCTTATGGAAGAGAAAGAACAACACAGAGGGGAGCAAAGAGCTTCTGAGAACCACAGATTAGGAAAGCTCCCCCAGGGAGCAGAACTAGATCCAAGCCCAATAGCTTTCCCTGTTCTCTGAGCTTGGAAGCCTTGCGGTGTGGGCTGGGCTGGATTTCAAAACTGCTATGGGCTCAGGACTGGTCTGTGCTCTTCATCCCCCACCCCTGCCACTTAAACAAAAGTATCTACTGTAGTTATCTTATCACTGCCTCCCTGTTATAGGTTGGGACTGTGTGTCGGGAGGCATATGACTTGTCTTCTAGTTCACGGTTTCTAAATCAAGAGAAGTCCATACGGGGAGCCTCATCCTGATCCAGACGTGATGCAGATGAGGAGATCCTGAACTTCGAGGCTTTGCTGTAATGGGGGGGGCGGTATTTCATATGTGGAAGAGATATGGATTGCTATGTGGAAGAGATATGGATTGCTATGGCCAGAGTGGACTATGATATATAATTTCCAAAGATGCCTGCCAAAAATCTTCCTTATTCCCGTATAGATGCCACTCCTCCCATCTTGGATTGTGACTTGCTTAGAGCAACAGAATAGGGTTGAAGCAGCTGTGATCCCAGAGCCCACATCTTAAAAGGCCTCATACTTTCTGCTTTTGGCTTTAACGATATAACCACCCCTTAAAGTATTCAGGCTCATTTATTGAATGATGAGAGACATATGCAGAGAGAGGCTCAGACATTCCAGCCACCCCAAACAACGCTATGTGGATCAGAGACAAGTTCTCTCTGCTAAACCCCACCCAGAATCATGACTAAATGATTATTATTTTTGATCCCACTAAGTTTTGGAATGATCTATGCAGCAGCAAATACCTGACCTACCTGTGTAAACAGGAGAGGCAGAAAAGTGCAGAAAACAATTAGTAAATTTATTTTCTTCTTCAGCACGGCCTTTGTGGGTTTTGTTTCTTTGTTTTTATCTATTTTCTGGTATCCTTTGATTTTAAAATAGTACAACTGAATAAAAGATTTCAAAGCACCAATGAGGTAGTGACTATAGGCTTAATGCCAACACATTTTATATATGGTGACAAAACTGATTTTATCCTTGACCAGACAGGATATGTAAGTGCAGGCCAGTGGTCATATACTTGGGTAGAACAGCCTGGGCGGCTCAGCGCTATAGTGGTCATTACGACACAAAATAACAAGAAATAAAACAAAAAACTCCTAAAGATGACCAGGATCACTTTCCTATCTCCATGACATTTCATTCAGAATTCATTTAGATCATTTCATCAGATTTCTAAAAGCTGTTCTTGTAAATTAGCACATTTCTCTCTCCTCTTCAGTCAAATAGGACACAGACAAGAATATACAACTATACTGGGAAGTTTGATTCCACTATTAAAGAAAAAAGTTGGCTCTGGATCCTCAAGGTGAATTATGACACCCATTAACCAAATAAATGCCCCAGCAAGCAGGCACAGGGTTCGCTCTACAAGCATGCAGGTGGAGCAAAGCAGAATTCTGGGGTGTGCTGTCCACAGATACCATGGTGTGAATGGCGCCCCCTGAAGTGGTCCACATCAGCAATGCTGTTAGAGAGCCTACCATACGCACAGATGAAACATGAGTTTGCCCTTGAAAACCTGGCATTCTAGCAGGAGCTGAGCAACACATGATCAACAATGGCACATACACATGAATGTAATGATGTACAGGTACTGTGGGTGGAGGTAGACTAAAAAACAGACCTTGAACTCAAGAAGTGAAGGCCAGAAACCAAAGGCGTGGGAGATGCACATAAGTAAAATCATCACACACACAGAAGATGCAGCTTACCTGACATGCTGATGGATGACTGTGGTTGAGATCCCAATGGGAAGACACTATGTCAACAGACTTTTTGGCCATGTTGAGTAAGTTCATCCAGCCTTGGAAAAGTGATAAGTGAAATGGTGCGTTTTCTGAATAGTTAAGGCCTTCAGGAATATTTTCCACCAGGGCAATTCTTAGAAAAGATTTTGAAAAACAAACAAACAAAATCTAGTCAAATTTGAAGCCACAGATCTTTATACATGCATACAGAGACATCTGGAACATCCTCTTTACTCTTTTTGAATATATATGTTCCTCATTATTTACATTTTCCACCAAAGGTCTCTTAGATTTCCCCTCTGCTAACCTTCCCAGTTCTGAGAGTTTAGCTGCTCTGGTTTTCCCCAGATTTGTTCATATTTCAGAAAATCATAGTATATGTTCCTAATGTCCAGTTTCAAACTAGCCTTGAAAGAAAAATTCAGAGCTTCCTACACAAGCATCTTCCTCTAGTAATACATTCCTTTTTTCCTATAGCAATGCAATTCTTATATACAATAGCACTTCTGTGAGCTACTTTAGGCCATAAGTTACGTTTTGCATACCTCCAGTTTCTAGGACAATGTTGGGCGTATATAGAACTAATTTAGAAACTGAAATATTATGAGTTTTTTTTACTACTAGAAAATAAAAATAGTATGTACTATTATTGTTGCTTAACATCCATTGATGCTTTGCAGCCAAAAGCATAAAATGATATGAGGAAATATTTAAAACCTACCTGTTGCAGGGTTTCAGTAAAGTGGGAGATAAAGAATGGATAAAATAATTGCAATAATCAAACCTTAAATAAAATACCACAAAAATATCCCAATGAATGTGTTTTGTCTTTTGATACTTCCTTGTATACCTACAACACATACACTGCCCCTGGCCCAGCTGGGTATGGAGGTGAAGACTGTGGTTTTTCCCTCCTGAGTTAGCCAGGGGACACATAATGTTTTATTAGAAGAATGAACTATTTTCCCCCCAGTTTTGGAAATGTAAATTCTCCTGTAACTCTTCATGGAAAACTGCACACCTGTAAATGCTTCCAGAACAGAGATCCGTTTCATTTACAGCTATGCCTCCCTAGTGCTGGATGCATAATTAGGGCTCAAGAAATACTACAGAATGAATTTTAGCTTTCAACACAGAACCCAGCACTCCTCACTAAAATTGTTAGCTGTTTCTCCTAATGAGACTTGTCCCATTTAGCACTTTTAGAAACAAAAGCAATAGTCTTGGTAAAATGTTCTTGTGCATTTGATGACTATCACAGCCAAAACGGGGTTGGGTATGTGACCCGGAGACATCCACAAGATCTGATCACCCTGACACCATCCACAATCAAGTTTAACATTTGCTGAGGTCTGATAAGCACAGGACAGGCAGCATGGAAATGACTGTAACAAATCTCCCTAGTCCTCTGGAATTTACAATTCAGAGAGACAGCCTATCTCACACATAATAATTCAAACAGTAGGTAGACTCCATGCCATGGTGAAACGAGACTAAGAAGTTCAATTAGAGTAGATAATGTATCACCCGAAGTACCACTGTGCATGGGCAGGAAGGAGAGATTGATTCTGGTTGGGGCCTGGGGCTTGGGGGCATGTGGAATTCGGTGGAGGTGGGACTTGAAATGCGTCTATGGGTGAGCTGGAAGAGACAGGAGTTCTAGGTAGAGGAAGGAGCCTGCCCAACAGTGTCCTCGGCTATTTGTGAGGTGAGCCCAGGAGGGGGTGAGGTGGAAGGGACAGGAGCTTGCCTTGGCAGAGAGGGCAGACAGCACCAGCAGGGACCACACTGTGGCTGTAAGCCAGGAAGAGGAGCTTGGGCTTTGTTTGGTGCATTTGGGAGCAGCCAAGTACCCCAGGGGCTCACCTTCAGGCACGTTGCATGCCACCGGAAGGAGAAAAGGAGACCCAGAAATGAAGTGGAGCTGGTGGAGAGTGGACATGACTGTGCCAGCTCAGGAAGGAAAATGAGAAGTCTGAGTTCAATCAGTGGGAATAAAAAGAGGCGTGCAGGCAACACGGTTTTAGGAACGAAATCTGAAAAGATTCAGTGTTTGATGGGCTTGAGGGGAAGGTGAAGGACGATCAGGCAGGAGTCAAGGGTGACAGATTTTCCTGCAGGGTCGACACATCATCTCTTAAGGGGGCGACGATAACCATCTCTCATGGTCTCCTTGCGTGGATTCTTGCCCCTCCCAACCATGTTCCATACTGTACTTGTGTTAATCATTTAAGAATGTAAACCTAAGCACTCTGCTGCTTGATGAACACCTCCTATGGGCTTCCCCACTGTCCTTAGGATGATGTCCGCCCAACCCCGTAAGATGGTTGGCAAGTGTGTACCAGTCCAGTCCTGCCTCCTCGTAGCCTCACTGAACCCCATCACCCTCTTTCAATTTTACACCAAAGCACACCAGACATCTTTCGCTCCTTCCCTGCTATTTTCTCCAGACTTTGGCATTTCATGTGGATCTTCCCAATCACCATCCCTACACTACTATCTCTCAATTAACTTACAAGGTCCTAGTTTAAACATTACTTCTTCTGAGAGACTTCCCTATCTCCCCAACTAGGCTAGCTCTCCCTTATTACCAAGCCCTGCATGACCTGTTACTCCCCCTGCATCCTTTTCCCTCTCTTAAAATTATTTGTTCAAGGCTGACTTTCCCTGATAGGTTATGGGGTGCAGGAAGGCAGGGACCAGCTCCACTGGCTCAGTATTGTAGCCGTAGTGCCTAACCTATTGCTCAGGGCACAGGAAGTATCCAAAGAATCTCTGCTGAGATTCCCTGAAATCAGAACTACTGGAAAGATGGAGGGGGGTGGGGTCTACTAAAACAGATGAGGAACATGGGAAAGGATGTAGACCAAGGGTTGGGAGAGATCATCAAAGGGGAGAAATGAAGAGAAAACTAGCCTAAAGCCTAACATGGGGGGCATGACTACATTTCTCTGGTTGGTAGAGTGTGAAACAGATAGGGATTCAGAAGGGACCAACACAGAGGCAGGGAGGCGAGAGAAATCCAGGAGAATGCAGTGTTTGGGAGGCCAAGGTGAGACGAGGTTAAAAAGGTGGAGAGAGGGGATTTTTTAAAATCTACTTCATAACCTTTGACAGAGGTTGAAGTTGGATATTTTTAACTTCTATCCACATGTAAAGCCCAATTGTCTGTGTTAATAGAAGCGTGACGGAAAGACCCCAGATAATGAGCAGTTTCAGCCTCCCCTATAAGACTATATTTACTTTTTTTTTTTTTAAGATTCATCCATTTATTTTAGAGAGAGACAGAGAGCAGGGGGAAGGGCAGAGGAAAAGGGAGAGGGAGAGAATCCTCAAGCAGACTCCGTGCTGAGTGCAGAGCCTGACATGGGGTTCGATCCCAGAACCCTGAGATCATGACCTGACCCAAAACCAAGAGCTGGATGCTCAACTGACTGAGCCACCCAGGTTCCCCTAGAGGCTATATTTAGAAATAAAACCAGAGAGAAGCCCTCCAACAAACAAAACGAAACACAACAGCTGCTGACAAAGAGAAGTGACTAGCTTCAATTTCACTGCAGTTTAACAGGGGTGCTGAGGAAGACAGGAGGAGACTCAAGAAGCCCAGACAAACGGAACAGACGGGATGAGGGATGTGGAGTAACTGCCCACCTGTCCCTGGCTCTGCTCCATCACCTTCCTCATGGTGCGCCCTGCGGCTCCTGGCAGGCAGACAAAAGAGGATTTCCAATCTCTTCTAGAAATCTTTAGACCAGGTGTTCTTTCCCTTGGATCCTTGGATGGAATTCACAGGACTCTCTGAGCTTGATCTTTACTTTCCCTGCTCTCTAACTGAAATTTAACATTCTCTTCATTTGCTAAGACAGGCAAAACCCCACAGGAATATTAGAAGCACTTGTGAGTCTGTCACCAGGGACAATCTGGTAAAGTTACTGCCAACATCTCCAAGTACTCAGCACTGCTTTGAAATTCTGGGGGTCGTCAGATCTTGTTATTTCATGAATAAGTAGTGCACAATATACCGTACTCCTTCACAGATTTTTTGAAAAATATTTTGATAAATTTATTTCAACATTATTGGTTGAAATCCCATGTGTTTAATTTATGCATTTAGAAAAAACATTGTTCAGGGCGCCTTGCTGGCTCAGTCGGTAGAGCACGCAACTCTTGATGTTGGGGCTGGAGTTTCAAGCCCCATGTTGGGGGTAGAGATTACTTAAAAATAAAAGCTTTTAAAAATTAATTAATTAAAAATAAAAGCATTATTCAAGGAAGGGTTTATCAGAGCGCTACACCCTCATCAGGCTGCCCCAGAGTGCTAAAGTCTATGGTGGCACAGAAGGGTTACAGAGCATTCCCCAGCCTGATAACGTATGTGGAATTATATAAAATTTCTGCACACAAGAGACTCCATTTCGGGGCGCCTGGGTAGCTCAGTCAGTTAAGCATCTGCCTTTGGCTCAGGTCAGGATCTCAGGGTCCCGGGATCGAGACTGGCATCAGGCTCCCTGCCCAGCAGGGAGTCTGCTTCCCCCTCTCCCTCTGCCCCTCCCCCTGCTCGCTCGAGCTCTCTCTCTCTCTCAAATAAATAAATAAAATCTTAAAAAAAAAAGCCTCCATTTCAAAGTTCCATTTCCCTTTCCAACTAACGAACCCTTGAACTGGGCCACAGCCAGTGACCGTTTTACGAGCAGTTGCTCATAAAATTTCAACAGAGCAACTGGCGTTTGGATCACGTGAGGACAGTGAAGTGAATTAATATGTGTCAGGGACACTTTCATTTGATAGCACCAATAAAATCATCAATAAGCTGATAATCTGAAGTGGCGCCACCAGTCAACACCAAATTAACAGGTTTTTGGGATTTTTTTCTTTCTATCTAAATCATGGAATTAACTTCTCCTTCTTTCTCATAAAAACCTTTTGCTTTCACCACGTGATCACGATACTTTTCTGGTTCCTCTGGAATCTGTGCTCCCCCAATCGCAATTCTGAGATCCCCAAATAGAGGCTTTTGTTCTTCTCCACCTTCTCCTCATTTTCCTCGGCTGATGTGCATCATCTACTCTTCTTCCTAATAAGATTTTTCTTCCCATTACTGAAGCCTTAGAAGTGGGTAGGATTACCAAGAGA